TATATATATATATAGAGAGAGAGAGTTCGTGTTAATGCTGGTAACATCTGAAAGTTTGGATGAATAGTGATTAATAAGCAGAAAGACAAATATCATGAGTGTAAATATAATTACCTGCACAGTATGCTGAATAGCAGATAGTTGGTCTAACCAGCTCATAGACATAATAATTGCCTGGACAGGCTTTGACTTTAATGGGAAAAGACCCGAAATAGCAGCAGTAATTGTTATAGTGACCGCAGACATCTCGAGTGACGACTCCATCTTCAACTGTTGGGTGTCCACCACGAATCCACAGTGGAGCAGCAGTGCCACAGCTATACTGAGCAACACACGTGTCTGGGATGTGAGCGCTCATGTTGTTAATGAAGAGACGATACCAGCCGCTCCAGGTGACATACTGGTCACAATTACTGCCTGAAGCATATATGTTAGTGGCTCTCCATGGATTGTCCAGCACAGTGTAGTTGTAGCAGGGGTCAACAGAGGTATATTCTGTAATTAAAATATTTATTTTTTAGCAGTACATTATACAGTACAAATGAACATTACTAGCAGCTGTTCTCATACAGTCTGCTTCAGAAATGAAGACAACTTTACTAATCAGCAGAAACGGGTTTATTTCCCCAGATTTAAATTCTAATACAGGTCCAAATGCACAGAAGCTCAACACGCCAATCTACAGATCTGATCATGTACAGTTAAAATACCACAGCACAATACATTACCAACTGATTCAGTGCTTTCTGATAGTGGCACCTGGTAGTCGAGGTTGGCACTGCATGCTAATGCTAGTTTAGCTTTTTGTTTTTGCCTCTTGTGGAGAAAAATTGTAAAAAAGTTTTTGAAAACAGAGGAAGAAGTTTTAGGAGAGAGGAAAATCCAGAACTTAAAGGTCCCATATTGTCAAAACTGAAATTTCCTGGCTTTTTTCACGATTACTGAGGTCTAGGGGCTATTTAACTACCATATAAGTTTCAAAACAGTCAGTCCACAGTAAAATGCACACAGCCTGCTTAAAGTTCTAGCTATTTTTCACGAACCGTTGTGATTTCCGTAAAAAGTTGAGGGCAGAACTACACAGTCACCGCCGTCAGTCACCACCCCGAGCACCGCCCACAGTCCCACTCTCCTTTTGCCAAACCCCCACAACAATGTATATACAATTACAAATGATTATATATGAATTGTCAGTTTGTTGTTTTACACACATGCACAGACATTATTTCATACACGACATAGTCATGAGATGCAAGAAACATAGACATATGGCAAGAAATCTGTAGACGCGCCCATAACAACAAAAGACAATACTTTATTGAACCTTTTCTGATAAGAAGTGTGGGCTGCAAACGCGAGCATTTTTGTTGATCCTTTCTGTCCAGTCTGCTCGTTTTATCGCGTTTAACCAAAGCTGTCGGTTTTTTGTCTGGCAGTGGTAGCAGATCACAGCTGTCGTCGGTTTTTGGTCTGGCAGTGGCAGCAGATAAGCGATCAAATTTCTAATTTGAGGCTGTATTACGTAGATTCTGGCACCCTACATCACAACATGATATTTTAAGCTCCTTATGTAGCCGAACCTGCGCTGGTTTGAATGGGCCACCTCCCGTTTCCCCTTTGTTGTGTTGCCTCCAGCTAGCGCTGTGACGTCGCTGACCCTAGTTACCTGTGGTTGGCCTTGTTGTGTGTCACTCAGAAAACAACAGGCCAATCAGAAGAGAGGCTCATGAATATTAATTAGACAGGACAAAATCGACCTGTTCTTAGCAGAGCTCCTGAGAGAGGAGCTGTAAAAATATATTTAGATGGTTTTTGGTACTTATACCGCAAATATATATTCTTAAGCAGACATCTCGAGTGACGACTCCATCTTCAACTGTTGGGTGTCCACCACGAATCCACAGTGGGGCAGCAGTGCCACAGCTATACTGAGCAACACACGTGTCTGGGATGTGAGCGCTCAAGTTGTTAATGAAGAGACGATACCAGCTGCTGGAGGTGAGATCACTGTCACACTTGTAGGAGCTTGATAGGTGACTGCTGTTGGCTCTCCATGGATCGTCCAGCACAGTGTAGTTGTAGCAGGGGTCAACGGAAGAATACACTGCAAAAAAAAAAAATCCCATAAAAACTGTAATTTTCTGGCATTAGGCAAAAATGTCTGTTAAATAGAAAAGTATTGTTTAATTAAAAGCATAGATAATCTGAATAAAAAACTGACAATGGAAACAATAATTTCATTGTAAATTGCCTTAAACCATCCAGTGCAAAAAAAACAAAAAAAACAACAACTAATATTTATGTTGTGTTAATAACGTGATTACAGTATCACTGTGAACTTCATTTGAGTCAACTAAAAAAAGAATATTTCTGTACATAAAATGAATCTAAACACTATGTGTATCTGAAACTCTTAGGCTTAGGGTTTCAGAATCTGGCAGTAAGTTTTGGGATTTCATTTTTAGTCCATCTTCTATCCTGAAAAGTCTGTCTTGCAGAGATTGACTAAAAATGAGCTGCTAAAACTCTGAATAAATTCTCCAAAACAGTGGTAAAAGAGGATGTGGTGCTGGACCTTCAAGAGTCACTCTCAACTTTTCTGTATATAAAGCCTATACAAATTAGTCTTTGTGTATTTCACAACACTTCAGCATGTTATTCTTATTAAGTGAGTGTCATTTTTTAGGATATTTTTACCCAAGCAAAATCTCTGAGAACCTGACACCTTGCACTTCTGGAGACTCCAGGAAGGTTGCAGTTCTGGAAAATGGTGGAAATGGAGACTAAATGGTTCCTGATGGTTTTACGCATAATTATTCACATTAATTATTAATTATTTTAGTCTAAGAAGAATTCTAATTAGAAGCTAAAGTTTGTGACCAAACTTAAAATGTTGGCTTGACAAAGCGGCATGGGCAGCCTTGAGGCAAAAGAGCCAGAATACTTGTGTGTTCGGCGTTCTTGAGCTGCCCCGCTGCAAACAAAAGTACAACGGTTATAGTTTTCATAATATTTTTCTATTGACCCTTGCTATGTTGTATTCTAATAAAAAAGCCAATTAGGCTATGACAACAGCTTGGACAGAGTTGGCTAGCTGGATGTGAAATAAGTCATGCCTTTTATTGTTTTACCAGTTTGTTATTTCAAAGTCCTGTAGTCCTGTCACCGAAGCGTTGTGGGCAACGACAAAGAAGGTAACTGAAACAATGCAGTTTAACTTGAGGCGATCATCGGGGTCCAAGCACAATGGCTTGTGTAGATGAGTTATACAATGGACATGTCTCTTTTCAAGTAAATTATGAGTCTTTATGTGAGTATTATTATATGCACAATATGAAAATAGATAATATAGTGTCCCTTCTTCAGTTGGACATACATTCAGTTATGTCTGACAACTTGACAAACATATTGTCAATACCATTAAAATTAAGATAAAAAAATATATGTTCTATTGGAATATTGAGGATATTACAGTTTTTGAATACTTTTTATATTGGGCTTTATTAAACTTTATGAAAATAAAATGAATTTATATGCTGTTTAATAATACAAGTCAATTTATTGAATTATTTTCACAGTTTTTATCTTGAAGGATTTGCTATCCTGTGGCTTCCTCGTGTGGACAATATTAGTATTATGGCCTTCATCTCTGAATCACATTAATATAAATGGCCAGTGTTTTTGAATGATAACAAATGTTTAATGAGTACGTTACTGATAATATACCCACATTAAACTCAAATTCACTGATTTGGTATCTTATTTCATGCTTTAACATTTGAATTTTCAACATTTTTAAGCAGTAATGATTCATTATTGTGTCACTTGTTATGTGGTTAACAATTATAATATATAAACAATATAATGATTAAAAAAGTACAACAGTTATTGTTTTCATATTATTTTCTATAAACTTTTGTAATTTTGTATTGTAATGAAGAAGCTTTTTATGACAACAAAAAATCGTCATTAGCACAAATTAAACACTAATTTCATATATATTGTCATTAGCAAAAATGTATCACTAATTTAATATATATTGTTTTTCAATAGTTCAAGCACTTTTTAGGTACCTTTTCATAAATATGGCAGTTTCCAAGGTTTTTTTTTAGGATTTAAATTTCAAAAAGTCAAAGTCAAGTACTTCAAACATTTAAAGCACCTTATACGAACCCTGGTAATATTTGTTATAGACCGCAGTAATTTTGTATTCTAACAAAGAAGTTTATTATGATAATAAAAGTATAGATACCAGTAAATTGTGCAATAAGCAAATTGCAAACAATAGCATAAAGTTTTAGGTTTGTAGGTGTTTAGATGCAGAAATGGAAGAATCAAATATTAAATAATATTGCATAAATAAAATAAATAAATAAAAGCAGCCAAGAAAAATTAATGATTTTCTCGGTTTTGGTGGATTAAAACACTCTTAAAACGGATGTGTTAAAAACAACACAACCTTTGTTATGTCTTAACACACCTGTGTGTCTAGTTAAGGACAACACATTGTGTTTATTCAATTTTAGCACAACCAGTGTGTTAGTCTTCTTAACACATACAGTGTCTTAAAATATTTAGCACACTAATGTGTCATAAATCACACAATTTGTGTCATAGATGTGCTATTAACCAGTTAAAATAAATACAATACAAAAAACAAAGCT